TGTCTGACAAAATATTTATAAAACTCATTGTGGGAATGGGAGAGGGCAGGAGGGATGTGACTGAGGAAGACACTGCCCTGTATTCTTTGTATCTAGCACGACTGTTGTTCATAGGTTTTAAAACCTCTTCAGTGTTTCTCAGTTAATCTGGAGTAGATGGAACAGGCCAGGGAGGCAAGATTAGAAGAAAGGAGGCAGGGCATGAAGCGGTGCCAGGCTGGTCCTGAAAGGGAGACAGACACAGACAGGCAGACACAGAGGGTTTAGGGATGAGGCAGAACAATGAGACGGCGGCTCAGGTGTGTCTTCCTGTTGCTGAACCTTCCCTCAACTGGCTCACTGCTGACTCGGCAGTGCTGGGTAAAACCTGTGGATTTCCTCAGCTCTGAGTTCTCTCTGAGGCTTCCGGCTCAGTCTGGAGCTGAGATGAGTTCCGTGGGCTTAGCCTAGTGGGGACTCAGATCTGAGAATTGCCTGGAATCCTGGAAAACTTCACGCAGGAACCCCTTGGGCTGGACCAGCGCTCACAGGGCTGCTGTGAGACCAGCTCCATCGTCAGAGACCTGGACGTGGACCATTACATGGGGAAAAGGGCTGAGCCCGATGCCAAATCAGATAGGAGGGGCAAAGTGTGTTCATTCTCATGTGACTGGGCTTTGTGGCCTGGCTCATGGATGGCACGCTCAGGATGGTGTCTGGCAGAGAAAACCCTGGCAATGGGTTTGAGATGTCTTGGACTCTTTCTTGTTAAGCTTTTTGTAATACATTCTTATCAACTATCCATCCTGAAATGCCAAGTTCAAAACTGAAAGAATGTTAGAAGTTGCCTGCTCCAACTGGCCAATGGTAAACACACACTGCTACAGTTAGATAACTGGTCAGGCAGCCTCTGCCTGGATATTTACAGTGACGGGGAGTTCATTACTTCCAAAGGTTACAAGTCGGCAAGAAGGTCAGACAGAATTTTTGAACCTTAAACAGATGTCTGCCTCCTAGTCCTTGCTGAAACGCAAGGAATAATGACTGATTGTTCTCTCTCTCTGTCAAAAGCACCCCAATTCTTAACATAAATTTTTCAAAATTCAGCTTTGATTTCTTTTTATCAAACTAATGCCATACATTCAATAAAGAGTCAAACTGTTCTCGAACACCGATTGTAAAAAGGAGCAGTTCCCAAAAACCGCCCCATTTCCTGGTCAGAAACAACCACGTTCAGCTCCTACTGCTGACTCTTGGAATAATTACTCCCTTTCTCTGACTAATATCCTTGTAACACAGCCTACTGACTTTTTCAGTTTTATGTATCACCTATTTAACATTCTATTTTGGAAAATGAGGATTAAGCTCTCTTACAAACCCCATCTCATCTACACACCCAAACCTTAATTCTTCCAACCTTTTGATACAATTACATTATAATTTTCATCAGCTCAGTATCCTTGATTTACATTATTATTACTCTGTACAGACTATTCAAAGCTGTAGCAATTTGTGCTAGTCTTACCTTTTCTTCCCTACTTCGTTTTCCTGGAGTTAATCATTGTCTTGGTGGTTCATAGCTTAGATTTCTGTGCACTTAACAATTCAACCTCAGACCTTCTCTTAACG